GCAAACAGGGTGTTTCTTGGCATGGGTCTCCACCATGGGTTTTCTCTCGATTTTCTGCCTGTGGAGGCCATCGCTGGGCCCCGAGGCCGCAAAAGAACGACTCGGGCGTCCACCAATGGAGCGGAAGAGAACGGAAACCATGCCCAAGACGGAACGCGGAAACTCCGTGCCGATCTTGGCCACTGTCCGTCGTGGTCAGCGTCAGATCCTGGACCCTCCCCGCGAATCGCCGACGACCCACGGGGACCATGACGACGACGGCCCCCGTGCATCGTCCCCCGAACAGGGGCCACCTGGTCCACCAGGGCGTCCGCGACGGAGGGCAACGCCCGCCGGCAGCACTCCACCAGCCGGATGCACGGGTCGTAGTCCCGCGCCGACCACTCTGCGAGGTGGGCCCGCAGCCGCGGCAGGAGCGCGGCCTCGCACAGGGCCTCCAGCGCCGCAGCGCCGCCGTTCTCCTTCTCCTCCTCTTGGGGAGGGCGCCGGCGGTGCTGCGGTGGCAGCTCGCGGGAGCCTCCCGCTCCATCTGACTGACTCTGGCGACCAGACCGACGCGGAACCTGCGCTTTCTCATCGATCACCAGACGCTAGCGCACGCGAGTACATTCTGAAGACGGCACTGCGAAGACAGACAAGGCTCCCATGATTTGCTTCCGAACTGTGCGACGATAGGAAGCCATGTTGCATTTCTCGGCGATGCCCCTGCTTATATGGTGAAGGGAAGGGGGATGGAGAAGGTGACGGCCGAGAACCTGACCGTTTCGCTTCGGCCAGCCTCACGCATGCCCGCGCGCACCATTACTCCGCCTCCCTTGGGACCTGCGCAACCGACAAGGTCAAGATACCCATGGGGGGGGGGGGGGGCGCGGCGCGACGGGGGGGGCAAGCGGACCCGGTAACCTGGGTGCTCTCGGGACCCTAAACATCTCCAGTGATGCAGCTGGCTCGAGGCACCCCCCTGGAATCCCATGTGCCTATGACGGCCCTCCTTTCCCCCAGAAGCCCCGGTGCCCCTGTAACGGCCCCCGTTTCTGCAGCCTGCGTGTCGCAATGTGACTGCAGCATCACGGAAAGGAGGAGATCCGACGGCGCGGAGAGAAAAAAAAAACATCGAGGAACACCCCCACGGGAGCACCACGAATCACGAACCCCCCGAGATCCGACGGCGCGGAGAAAAAACATCGAGGAACCTCCCCACAGGAGCCTCCGAGACCCCCTCGCGCCCTGCAGCATGCTCTTCCTCCTTCCCCGCCGGCTCGACCCGCGAAGGCCCCCGCCTCCGAGCCTCGGCCGGGGGCGCCCGGCTCGAAGCCAAGGAGGCGCGCCGCGAGCTCCGGGGACCTCCCGGGGATCCCTGGGAGTCCTGGGGCGCGGTGCTGCCTCGGGGACCTTCGGACGCGGGTCCATCCAAACCCGGGTCCGACGGAAGCCAGAAACTGCAACGCAGGACAAACAAAAACTGTGACCCAGGTCTTCGCAGACCCGGGTCAGCCACTGTGCGCGGCCGCCTCGCGGCCACGAGCGGCTCGCTAACCCGGGTCAGCCAGAGGGGGTCTTCGCAGGATCCTGCAGGATCTGGTTTCCTGGCTGACCCCCGTTTGCATTGACCCCCGTCTCAAGGCTCCCGACTGCCATCACCTCTTGCTCGTCCGGGCCTGTACTCGGCGCCCCTCTGACGGGGACGCCACTCGCGGGCACTTTGGCCAGTGGCCCGGCGAGCCCGACCTTTTTCCCGATGTGGGCCACGCTGCCATGCCATGGCAACTTTCGGCCAAGTCTCCAGACATACCCGTTACTGTGTACCCGTCACGGTGCTGCTCATGTACATTACCAGCCTGGAGCTTATCCCTATCCCTATGTTGGGCATCGCCTCGTCACGATGGCGATCTTAGGGATTCCCTCAGTTCCTGAGGGTGCATCCCTGAGATTGTCCTCGCCTCTTGGCGTGCTAATCTCAGGGGTAGGGATAAATTCCGAGGCTGCTCCTGTGCACCCGTGCCGAGCCTTGCCCCGGCGCATGCTGGGGGCCAGGAGCGGCGCAGGGGGCGCCCCGCAGGACTGGGCAGCGAGCAGGAGCTCGACTGCAGAATGGATGCACCCAACGCTGACAATGCCGCCGAATCCATGGAACAATACGTGGAATGCTCGCCGACGTGCGAACAGTATACGTTGTTGTCCAGTAGATTCGACGGACCAATCTGTCGGGGGCAACCTGGGCCAGCAATCAGACAACCCACTTCTGGGTGAGCGTGGGCACCGGAGCGAAACTGTGTTTCGCGGGGGGGGGAGGGGGCGGATTTAGCAGAGCGATGTCTTTAGCACCGCGCCAAGCCACAACAACAAATAAGGATTCCCCGTCCCCCGCGACCGACATGTAAAACTATTACGGATCGACAAAGAATGGGATGATTAACTATTCCTGTGGCGTGCATGATTGAAAGAGTCTGACAGCGCTGAACCCATTCAAAGCGTGCCTTAATCAAGATGTGAGCGCTCTGGAAAACAACTCAACTCAATGGGTCACCCACTGAAAAGGTACCTCCTCCTCCTCCTCCTCCTCCTCCTCCTCCTCCTCCTCCTCCTCCTCAGGGTGTCAGGATAACGATTCCGGGTGCTGGATGCGTTATCGTTTCACCAGAGGGGGGGGTCCTAGGTCTGGGAGAGGGAGGAGGAGGAGGAGGAGGAGGAGGAGGAGGAGGAGGAGCAGGAGCAGGAGCAGGAGGAGGGGGGGGGTTAGGAGGAGGAGGAGGAGGAAGAGGTTACGACAGGCTCGTGCGGCGTCGGCGCGGGCAAAGCAAAGGTTTCTTGTGACACCGAGACGATCGTTCAGCCCTGAATCGATCGCGGCCCCAATCGTTCAAGGTTAGTTCTGTCGGGTCCAGAGGGCGTTACCGCGTCCCTCGTTGCTTCCGCGTCGCAGATCTCAACCTTGAGCGACTCCGCCAGCGTCGCTGGAGCGCCATCGCCGTATGAGCCTGCCGTACCGATGCCGCTGCTCCACAGACCTCTCCAGGGGTTAACCAGCCTCTAACTGATCCCTATCCCAAAGATTGGCGAGCCAAAGAGAAGGCGATGACAATCTTGGGGATGCGTCCTCAGAAATCGAGGGAGCCCTTGAGATCGGCATCGAGAAAAGGTGATGCCAATCATAGGGAAGCGGATCTGCACCAGGCTGGGACGGGGTGCGCTCCGAACAGCTTCTCGAAGCGAAACGAACAAGGGCGGCCAGCGCTCTCCAGGACGAGCTGCGGCATCAATGCCTTCCCGTGAGACCCGACGCTACTGACTACCTACCAGACCACCCCAACCCAACCCGAAGACCCGAATTTCGGGTTGGGGGGGGTACGGGTTCCATACGTGTTTTTTCGATGCTCCCCGACGCCCCCCAACTGGAAATGGAGGTCAAATGGAGGCCATCGGGTTGGGTTGGGGTGGTTTGGTGAGTGGTGAGCTACTGAATCACGACCGAAGCCCTGCAGACCCAACCTCTCTGCGGCCCTCCTGGAGCCGCGCCGACCTGTGAGGGCCCCAGGGCCCCCGGAGCCGGGCGGAAATCGCCCAGCGTGGAGGCGGAGGAGGCGGAGGAGGCGGAGGAGGCGGAGGAGGAGGAGGAGGAGGAGGAGGAGGAGGGGGGGAGGGGGAGGGGGGAGGAGGAGGAGGAGGAGGAGGAGGAGGAGGGGAGGAGGGAGGTAGGAGGAGGAGGAGCAGGAGGAGGAGGAGGAGGAGGAGGAGGGGAGGAGGAGGCGGAGGAGGAGGAGGAGGAGGAGGAGGACCTCCGCCTCCTCGGACCTCCGCTCCTCGGCCAGCTCCCTCCAGGGCGCCAGCAGCGAGAGCCCCGACTCTGGCGCGCCCATCGGGCTCCACGCGGCGAGCTCCCTCCTCGCCAGCGGGGCGGCCAGCGCCACGCCGGCCTCGAGCGTGCGCAGCACGCGGAACTCCACGGGCCGCAGCGCGCGCAGCCGCGCCAGCGCGCGCCCCAGTTCGCGCAGCGCGATGGACCCCTCGTCCTGCTTCTGGCGGAGGGCCTCCATCTCCGCCACCAGCTCCTGGGGGCGACGAGGCCGCCTGCCCCAAGATCCTTGCGTCGCGTTCCTGCCCCGTCCGGGCGAGGTTGCCTTGCCTCGGGCCCCGAGACCCTCAGGGATCGATCCGCGTCGAGAGGCTTGCCGCAGGAAGACATGGATGCCTCCTAGAGAGTGTCCGAGTAGGTGGGGTCGAAGGATCGCGCCACGTCGCCAATGCATCGCCGATGTATCGGTGATGCATGAACGATGTATCGGCGACGTCGGCGATGCATTGGCAACGTCGGCGTGGGAAAACACGGGCTCCACATCGAGCCGCATCGTCGATGCATCGGCGATGCGGCGCGATCCTCTGACTCCATCTACTCGGATCCCATCTGGGAGGCCTAGGAGATAGGGTTCAGAGAGACGAGACGAAACGCACGTGTCCGCTGGCAGGGTGAGGAAGGGGAGAGGATTATGATAGGAATAGAGGAGGGGTATCAAGGAGGAGGAGGGGAGTGCGAGCTGGAGGGAAAGGAGGAGGAGGAGAGGGGGAGGATCGAGGAGGGGGAGGATCGAGGAGGGGGAGGATCGAGCAGGGGAGGATCGAGGAGAAGGAGGAAGCGGCTTCGGGTCTCGGGGTGCACGTACCGCGCCGCCCAAGCGGAGGAGGAGGACGATCGGGGAGGGGCAGGATCGAGGAGGGAGGGGATCGGGCTTCAGATCTCATGGTGCACGCACCGCGCCGCCCCTGGCGCGGGCCACCCTCGCCCAGGATCACTATAATAAGTATGTATGTAGACACATGTGTATATCTATATATGTGTATATATAGACGTGTATCTGCCCGTACATATATATATATATATATATATATATATATGTATATTACATGAAGCTACATCGATCATTTTACTGAAGCGTGTGCATCCACATGAAGCCACGAAGCTTGATGCATAGCTGTGCGCATAGGTGTACAGGGCACCGATCGACCTCGACGCCCGGCTCCCTGCAGGACCCGGCGTCGCCCTGCAGGCCGTCGGCGGCCTCGAGGTCCTTCGCGTCGCGCTGGGCCGCGAGCAGCAGCTCCTCCCGGGCGGCGGGGAGGGGCCGCCGGCCCCGTCGGGCGTGGGACGCGCCTCGGCCGCAGCCGGACCTGCTCCGACCACGGTGGCGGCATTGCTATGAGGAAAAACCTCCTCCTCCTCCTCGTCCTCCTCCTCCTCCTCCTCCTCCTCCTCCTCCTCTTATCATTAGGCTGCTTATTATTATTCTGCTTCGTCTTCGTCTTTGGCTTCGTCTTCGCCTTCGTCCTCGTCTTCTTCTCATTATTCTTCTTCTTCTGATTATTATTTGTTTTCTCCTCCTACTCCTCTTCCTTCTCCTCCTCCTCCTCCTCCTCCTCCTCCTCCTCCTTCCCTCTTCCTCCTCCTCCTTCCCTCCTCCTCCTTCCCTCCTCCTCCTCCGGCTCCTCCTCCTTCCCTCCTCCTCCTCCGGCTCCTCCTCCGGCTCCTCCTCCTCCTCCTCCTCCTCCCCCGAGTAGTCTGTGAGGAAAGCCCTGGAGGGCCTCGTGCGGAAACTTGGAATCAGATTTACATGGGATCCACGTCGGATGTACGTCGGGTCACGTCGGAGTCACGTTGGACTGACGCCGGAGCATCGCCGCGCGAACGTCGACCCATAACTTTCGGAGCTGACGTGTGGAAAAAAAAAAACTATTTCGCGCCGCGCGAGGTCTCCAAGATTTGTCCTCCTAACAAGCGGCGGTGAGGGCATTGGATGCAGTGCGGACGCGGGCGCAGGAAGTACTGGCAAGAAGCCCGGCCCTAAAAAAACCACCAGCGCGACATGCAAGTGTTTTGGACGCCCGAGATGGATGGGTACGGAAAAGATGGGCACGAGGCCCAACAACAAACGTGGTCCCGAACCATCAGCGGCAGCTGTCCGGCAGGCAGGCTCCTGCATCGCATGGACAGGGTCCGCGGCGACACTGTCAGCGAAGACCCGTTCAAAATGAACAGGAACTGCTGCTAGTACTGGAGCCCATTCTTTCCGTCCCCATTTCGATCATCCCGAAAGTGGGGGGGTGCCAATACCGCTGCTCCCCTGACCTCTCTCAGGATGCGTTCGGAGCAAACTTTCGAGGCGGATCCAGCGGTGGCGACGAGGGCCTCCCAGGAGGCCGAGACAGGGAAACACGGGCGAAGGGTAGCGGTATGGGTACCTGTTCCTCCTCCGAGACATGCGGGGGGGAAACCCAGAGCACCCTCGAAGCAGCAGCTCCTCCAACGGCCGGGGGCACTCTGACGAGAAGCACTCGGCCTCTCGACGAGCATCCCGATGTCAAGGAACCGCTGGAGAATGAGAGCAACGGATAGGAGCCAGGAGCCCCGGTCAACCTATCCACACCCCGCCCAGGGACGCCCCCGACAAATTTGGACGCCCGAAATGGGTACGGAAAACATGGGTACAATGCCCAACAACAAATACTGTTCCAAACCAACAGCGGCCGCTGTTGGGCAGGCGGCCTTCTGTCTCGAATGGACACAGGCCGCGGCGGCGCGGACAGCGACTCCTGTTCAGAATGGACAAGAAATACTGTTGGGGATCGTACCCATTCTTTCCGTACCCATTTCGGGCGCCCCCGACAAGGGCTGCCTCTCGCCCGCCCGAGGCGCCAGGAGCCACCGTGCTGTCTGGACGAGCGCCCGGGCGCTGAGGAGCCGGAGCCGGCTGCGCGTGCAGGAAGGGTAAGCAACCCCTGGGTTTGAAGGCGCCTGGGGGGGCAACGTTTGATGGGCCTGTTTTCGACCACCACCACCATCATAAGATAGAGGGGAGGAGGTGGAGGACGAGGAGGAGGAGGAAGAGGAGGAGGAGGACGCCCTCCCCCTCCTACTCATGGTGGTGGCGGTGCAAAACAAGCCCACCCACGTTGTTTCCAGGGCCAGAAACTAGTACGCTCGGCCGGCGCGCTTGATCCACCAATCGAAATCCTTACGAACCCCTTGTCGCAAGAAACTAGGATCTGAGGTTTGTTCTTACCGACTGATGGGCTGCTCAGGTCTGCTCTTATCCTGCGAGCGCTGCCTGCCCCTCCGTCGCCCCAGAAACAGAGATCGCGTTCGCTGCACCTCATCGAGCTTCAACACTAGATTAGGAATCCAGTGTCTGGAAGCCGGTGAAACGCCGATTGAGGCTTGGCCATGGGTACCACCGCCGCCCTCATCGGACAAGGCATCCTGCCGGGACTGACGCCTGCTGGGCACATTCATTAATGAATGTCCCTCGGTACGACGGACGAGAATGATGTGAACGACGAGCGGAAAAACGAGTCTTGCGCGAGATAACGTTGCGATCATACGCGGTGGCTCAGGCGGGCCGCCAGCGCGGCACGCTACATTGGAAACGAGCGCGCTTACGCGCGAATGCCCGCGCAGTCGAATCCGTGTTCTCCGCCGCTCATGTCATGATTGGTCAGGCATCGGGATGCTGGGAGGGGCCTGTTGAGGCCTGCTGGGACTACCTTTGGGGCCTGTCCGAGCGCAACACGAAGCCTGACTAATCATGGTACGATTGGCTCAGAATACGTTGGATGGATTCAAGTGGCCCTCGTTTCTGCAGCCCGCGTGAAGCATTAGGACATCTGGGAAATCCTTGATCTTGGAAATCTTCGGGACGCCGAAATTATCATGACCCCTTGCTATTCTAACCAATTGGACTGACTGTCGCCCAGGATGGAAGCAACTCCTGGGAAACCCCTTGCAAGAACGATGAAGGGACACTAAACCCGAGATCATCAGGGGCCATCAAGCCAGAAACCCCCAAGATCAACACAAAATGCAGCCCGATCAGGCCAGATTAAACGGGATTAAGCATGACTGTGCTGGATTATGAAGGAGTCGGCCAGTATTCGGCCGTGGACATATACCAGCGCCGATGCTGAACACAACCTCGCAAGAATTGCCTCTCTGTGGTCTTACTCTAACTGGCCTTGGCGTCGCCCAATACGAGGCGAAGTCCAGTGGGAGGCCCAAAAGCTGGAGCCTCCTTGGCTCAAAACTGCACTTGCCCCGTATGGAATTCTCGGAGCAGGGCGATGGGAGACAACGGCAGCCTAACAACATCATGCTGGCGAAGCACCCAAACATATGCAGTTGTGAATACCATCGTTGCGGGTATCGCCTTCGGGGGATCTCCTCATGGGGCCATGACGCATGCGAAGGGTGTGCCGACGTGCGACGGGGCCGACATGAGGGCGCTGCCACTGGTGCTTTAGGTGAAATCGACTACGGGGCAGCGAAAAGTGTGAGGGGTGCGCCGCAATGGGCCGGTGCCGCCACTGGAGCCTTCGGTGGAGCTCACTATGGGGAAACGAAACGCTGTACTGGGTGGGGGAATTACATGCCAACGCAACCACTGGGGCCTTCGGCGGAGCTCCCTATGGGGCCAAAGAGCGCTGTGCCGGGTGGGGGAAAAGCATGCGAACACCGCCAAAGGAGCCTTCGGTGGAGCTCCCTATCAAGTAACTGAACGCTGTACTGGGTGTGGGAAACACATTCGAACACCGCCAAAGGAGCCTTCGGTGGAGCTCCCCATGGGGGGGTGGCGCATGCGGGCGGTGCCTCTGGGGCCTTCGGTGGAGCTCTCTATGGGGCAACGAATGCTGTACTGGGTGGGGGTGGCGCATGCGGGCGGTGCCACGAGGGCATTCGGTGGAGCTCCCTATGGAGCCACGAAACGCTGTACTTGGTGGGGGTGGCGCATGCGGGCGGTGCCACTGGGACCTTCGGTGGAGCTCCCTACGGGGGGGTGGCGCATGCGGGCGGTGCCACTGGGGCCTTCGGTGGAGCTCCCTATGGGGCAACGAACGCTGTACTGGGTGGGGGTGGCGCATGCGGGCGGTGCCACTGGGGCCTTCGGTGGAGCTCCCTATGGGGCCACGAAGCGACGAAGCGCTGTACTGGGTGGAGGTGGCGCATGCGGGCGGTGCCAATGGGGCCTTCGGTGGAGCTCCCTATGGGACCACGGAACGCTGTGCTGTGTGGGGGTGGGTGATGATGCTGATGCCGGATTTGATGGAGGTGGGGGGAGGAGGGGGAGGACGCGGGGCACTCTCTCGTCCAAACGAGGACCCAGCACCACAGGATTGTTGGGAAACAAATGCCCCTGGACCCCTCCCAGGGTCCAGCTGCGTCCAGCTGTGGCGACGGGGGGCCCCCCTGGAGGCTAAGTACGGTTGTCTCAACTCGCCCGCCCCTGAACTTGGCGTCGACAGCTCCTGCGCGTGCCGTTTCCTCTCGGCCAGCTTGCGGATCTTGTCCTCGCAGTTGGCCAGGAGCACGCGCGCGTTGTAGCGCAGCTCCTTGAGGCTCCTGACGTTGTCCGAGCCGAGACCGTCGGCCAGCTCCGCGAAGGACGTGGCCACGCGCACCTCGGGCCCGCGCATGTCCACGATGCGCATGGTGCCCTGCTGCTCCTTTCAAGGGGCCCAATGGGGACACGAGCTACGGCCAAACCTGGGGCAGAAGAGCACCCTGCAAGAACATGAGACCCTCCGCAGGCCGAAACTGAAGAGAAGTCGAGCGTGCCCTCCCCCAGGATGCACCAGAACATTCAGCAGCCACGAATAACATCAGGGTACCCTCCCCGAACCAGACTCGATCTCATATTAAGAAACATCCCGATCAATGGATGCTTCGACATGGGATCGATAAAGAGATCGGCAAAGAGATCGACCGGGAACCCGGGAACCCGGAACCCACCGAAATCGGCCCGGAACCAATGACCAGGAACCCGGGCGCCCAGAACCGAGAACCCGGGCGCCCAGCCAGCCACCAGACTCGGCGGGACACGTTCGCCGAATCTTTCAATTCCCGCTCGGATCCCTGCAGTGCAAGCACAAATTGGGGAACCTCGGTCCGACCCCAACGCACTTGCCGTCGCTCGGACGTCTATTCCCTGTGCACGCTTCGGTTTCGTGCGTGTTTTCGTGTGCTCGATGGTGCAGGATGGTCCTCGATGGTTCTCGCCGAGAAAAAATGCACACGTCCGAGCGATGCCGAGCACGAGGTCACCGGCGCGTCGAGCTCACCGGCGCGTCGAGCTTCGGCTTGGCGCTCGCGCCGCGCTGCCTCCCGCGGCCCCTCCCTGCCCCTCGGCGACGCGCGCAGTGGGGGGGGGCGCGAGGGGGAGCAGCCCTCTCAGACGGCGGGGCGGGGTGCACTCAGAGGGGCCCACCAAAAACAGTGACAAGTCGGCCCACCTTCCAGCATGTGAAAACATCTGGTCGTAGTTCCTGGCGTTGCCCGTTCGCCCTCATCTCTCCCGTACTTTCCAATATTCTCATGGAAATCATGATCCATGGGTGTGTTGTGCCGATTGTTCCCTCCTGCTCCTTGGCCTCCTGCGCCACCTCTGCCGCCGTCTTGTAGATCGTCTTGGGCCGGGCAACCTTCGACCCCTTCTTCCAGCCCTCGCTCGGCTTGGGGCCAGCGTCCTTCACGGGTTTGCTCGCGAGCAGCTCCTCTACCGAGCGCTTGCTGCCCATCTGGTCGCGGCCGTAGAGATCCTGGCCCACCATCTCACCGTCGTCCTGCGGGGACAGCAAGCGACCACAACCATAATTATCGGGGAGGCACCCTGGCGGATGTGTGTGCGCATGCCAACAATCGTGAGAACGCCAGAACCCGCTTGACAACTACCGGTTGTGGTCGATGTAGGCGTCACAGACAACTCGACCACGACCACAACCAGAGTGCTCACGTCCACGTCGGCGGGTTCTCCCAAAAAGGGGCCCTGCAGAGAAGCCCACTGGCTTGTGGCTGTGGGTCCCTGCTGTGCCCACGCGTCCTGCAGCCCCATGCCGGCCTTCCGCCGCGTCACCTCGATCGGGTTGGCGATGCCGTCGTTGTGGCGGCCGAGGCCGCCGCCCTCGAAGCCCATCTTCTTGAGCATGGCGAACCTTCGGGGCCCCAAACCCGTGTGGTGACGGACCGCGTGGTGGCCTCGGAATCACCGACGACCTCACCGCACGGCCTGCCGCTGCATGGCCCCGAGAGCTCAGAGGCCCCGTCTCGCCCGGGGACGTCATCGGAGAACGACCCGAGCCCCAAAACCGTGCGGCGACCCCGAATTCGCACTGACTCGCCACGCGGTGTGGTCACCAACCATTTTGGGGGCCCCCGAGAACCCCTTCCCGTAGCTGGCCGCCATCTGCCCGAACGACAGCTTGTTCCGCGCCTGCGGGACTGGTCCCTGCTCGACCGGCTCCTTCGAGCATCGTCTAACAGTTCCCTGTCACCACTGACGTGGCCCTGGCCTCGCTGACAGAACTGTCCCCCCCAAGTGGGGCTCTACGCCTGCTTCTTCGGGCTTTGCGGGGCCCTTCCTCACTGCTCAGAGATCCGGTGTCTTTCTATCTTTTTTCCCACCTATTCTGTGGTGTTGGGACCTCACCCCGCGTCACTTCTCCTCCTACTCGCCCCTCCTCCCAACCCGCTGCCCCCTCCCACCTCTCATTATCAGTATCGCCATCGTCACCATCATGGCCGTCATCATCACAATCATCGTCATCACTCCCGCTTCGACACGCTCCTCACAGGTCTCGTGGCCACACAGGGAGCTCCACCTACATCCCAGTGGCGCAGCCCGCCTGTGGGCGACACCCCTGTTTCGGCACACCCCTCACACGCTTCGTGGCCCCATAAGGAGCCCCACCCAAGGTCCCAGTGGCGCAGCCCGCATGTGGGCGTCACCCCCGTTCTGTACACCCCTCAAAAGATTCGTGGCCCCACACTCCACCTAAGGTCTCAGTGCCGCAGTCCACATGTGGGCGACACCCCTGTTTCGGCACACCCATCACACGCTTCGTGGCCCCGTAGGGAGTTCCACCCAAGGTCCCAGTGGCGCAGCCCGCGTGTGCGCGTCACCCCCAGTTCGGCAAACTAATCATACGCCTCGTGGCCCCACAAGGAACTCCACAAACGGTCCTAGTGGCCCCACATGTGGGCGACACCCCTGTTTCGGCACACCCCTCACTCGCCTCGTGGCCCTACAAGGAGCTCCACAAACGGTCCCAAGGCGCAGCCCGCTTGTTGGAGACCCACCCGTTTCGGCACACCCCTTGAACGCTTCGTGGCTCAGCAGGGAGCTCCACCGAAGGCTCTAGTGACACAGCGCGCGTGCGGGCGATGCCCCATGGGGAGCTCCACCTCAGACGGTACTCGCACTTGCGTCACTCACAACTGCAGATGGCTGGGGTCTTCGCCAAGCTACTCCATACGGGGGTCCCTCGAGGGCTCGACCCACTCCAGGGGACCGGTGTCTCATGCTGAATTTTTGTTGTTGGGGCCCGGCGAAGGCTCCAGAGGCCGAGGACGGAACAGACACCTCCGTCTTGTCTCTTCGATACGTTGGGTCTCTGAGTTGGGAGGGTGGGCTGGTGGGGCTGGGCTGCCAAGGCCCCGTAGGTGTGGGGATAGGTTAGGCGATGCTGATCCTTGGGCTCGGGCGCGCCTGGGAATCGGAAGCGGGGATCGACCTCGTCCTCGGACGCTGCGCCATCCTCCTGCTCGGGCTGCGCGCGCGGCACGTGCGTGGGCACCTTGGTCTCCCCCTTCACGAAGCTCACCGGCGCGTCGAGCTTCGACTTGGCGCTCGCGCCGCGCTGCTTCCCGCCGCCCTTCCCTGTCTCGGCGGCGTGGACCAGGGGTGTGTCGCGAGGGGGAGCAGCCCTCTGAGAAGGCGGAGGGCTTCTTGGGAGGCACCTCATATGATCGTCCCGTGCCATCTTGCTGGCTCTCGCGAGTCAATACTAACTGACGCTAAATCGACTCTCAGCGACGCGTGATCGACTCTAATCGGTGCTAAATCGGCGCTTTCTCACAGATTGTCAAATGATAGCGCACGCTAGTGCACTCTAAAGACGGAGTTACGGGCATACGTACCGCTCCCACGAACTACTAACAAACTCAAAGCCGCGGACGCTTCTGAGAGACCTCAGAAGACGGGAGGGCTTCGATGAAGAGGCCCCGACCCACCCCCCTCCTGACTGGAAAGCTGCCACCTAGGCCACCACCCTTCTGGCAGGCCCGAAATGAGTGCGGAAACATCGGCGCGCTGCACAGTGCACAGCAGCAAACGTTGCGCTCAAAACAAGCAGCGGCCGCAGCTGGGCAGGCGATGTGGCCCCCACAGCCGGCTAGGAATTCGGATCTGCCTGGCACCTTTGTGGCCCGTTTTGTAAAACAAAAAACGTGCTTCATGGAAAGCAAGTGGGTGCCACCCACCCCATCTGGAGGCGGGCCCCGACGTTACTCGGGGGTCCCCGGTCTTGCTCCTCGGGCTCCCTGGCCCTCCCCCTCGGCTCCCCGGCCCCCGCTCCCAGATGAATGCCGGAAGCAGCGCCAAGCATGGCCGGGCAACGACGAGGCATGCTCTGCAACGTCCTGCCGCCGTGCACTGCTCAGAACACTTCGCACTGGCCTCGGGAGGAGCCTGGCCCCAAAGCGCAGATGTCGTGTCTCCGATGGGTAGCACCCGCGGCGATGACGACAGCGAGCCGGGTTCGAAATGAACAGGACATGCTGTCGGCTGTGGACGACGACGCGGGGGAGGAGGAGGGAGGAGGAGGAGGAGGACGAGGAGGAGGAGAAGGAGGAGAAGGAGGAGGAGGAAGAGGAATCGAAGGGAGGAGGAGGAGGAGAAGGAGGAGGAGGAGGAGGAGGAGGAGGAGGAGGAGGAGGAGAAAGAGGAGGAGAAAGAGGAGGGGGAGGAGGAGGAGGCGGAGGAGGAAGAGGAGGAGGAGGAGGAGGAGGAGAAGAACGAGGAGGAAGAGGAGGAAGAGGAGGAGGAGGAGGAGGAGGAGAGGAGGAGAAGGGAGGAGGAGGGAGGGGAGGAGGAGGAGGAGGAGGAGGAGGAGGAAGGAACAGGAGGAGGAGGAGGAGGAGGAGGAGGAGGAGGACGAGGACGAGGGAGGAGGAGGAGGAGGAGGAGGAGGAGGAGGAGGAGGAGGAGGGGAGGAGGGGGGAGGAGGAGGAGGAGGAGGAGGAGGAGAAGGAGGAGGAGGAGGAGGAGGAGGAGGAGGAGGACGAGGAGGAGGAGGAGGAAGAGGAGGAGGGGGAGGAGGAGGGGGAGAGAGGAGGAGGGAGGGAGAAGGCGATACCGACAGCGAGCCGTGTTCGAGATGGACAAGACCTGCCGTCGGCCTTCGCCCCCGGTCTCCCGCACCCATTTTGGCATTGCCGCTTCGTTCGCGCCGCCGACCTCTCTTCTTCCCGGGCCCGTCGTCGCTGTCGTCGCCGCCGTCCGCGAAAACGCCCAGGATGTTCGCCTCGTTGCTCCGGCGCTTCCTGGCATGCCGCCCCCCAACCCCCCCCCCAAGCACCGCTCTGGCCGCCGCCAGAGTTGGGTCGGGCATGTCCTCCCATAGGCGGCTACTGGGAGGAAAATGACACACAGTCAGAGTCGCAAACTCGTCTTCATGAAATGGATGGACCGTTGCTTGAACATTCCTCGCGCCGAGGGACATGCCCGATGTCACGCTAGAGCGAGCCCTCGCGTGCTGCACTCGATCACCTCGCCTCGCGCATCGCGCCCCGCGCGGCGCGGCGAAGCCTTCGGGCCCTCGCGCCGCCGCCCAGGAGAAGGGCGCCCCTCCTGCGCGAGCCGCGATGCGCGAGGCTCTCGGCGCCGCTGTGGGCAGCCCCAGCAGCAGGGCCTCGGCTACAGAATGGAGTTACCCTAAGACTGACGTGTTCGCCGGATCCATCATGTTCGCAGCTCTACGAGCATTCTACGTATGGCCCGACGAGAAATCAATCCTAGGGTGAATCAGCTCTGCAGTCGATGCCCCACTCAAGCGATTTGGGCCGACTCCCCGGGACCTGCTTTCCATCCCGAACCGCCTTCTGACGGTCCACAGGCCTGGTCAGGGCCCCCCATGGCTGAACATACGGAAACAACTTCCGTCGTGTTTCGTCCCACCACCCGAAGTGGCAGGGGGCCTGGCAAAAAGGGAGGCTCCTGCGGCCCCCCGCGCCCAGCGCCGCGCCGAGGCCCAGGCCACCTCGCGAGCTTCGCTTCACGGGGAGGGGCGGCACGTGGACGGGCGAAGAGGCGCACAGCTTTCGCGCCCCTCTGAGACCCCAGGGTGCCCCTTTCAGGCCCCTGACGCGCACACCAAGTGCACCCTTCTTCGGCCCCCGATTATCCAGAGGCCTCCTACGTGGAGTCCGAGTAGATGGGGTCGGAGGATCGCGCCGCATCGCCAATGCATCGGCGGAGCATCGCCGGTGCATCGGCGACGTCGGCGATGCATCGGCGCCATGGGCATGCAGATGCTACGGCTTCACATCCAGCCGTATCGTCGATGCATCGGCAGTGCGGCGCGATCCTCCGCCCGCATCAACTTGGACCCCATGTGGGCGACGAAAAGAAACGGATCTTACGCGAGATGGCATAGCGACTTTACGCGGTATCTTGTCTTCCGCGGGCGTCCTGCGCGGCACGCTGCATTGAAAAAACGAAGGCGCTGACGCACGATCTTGCGCGGGACGCTGACACGCCAATGTCAGTGAAGACGACTCTGTTTTGCTGCGTCGCTCAGGTGGGAGGCCTCGATTGTCAATCGGCGGCGAGCGAGGGGGGAAGTGAGGCGGAGAAGGCCTTCTCAGAAGGCGGCGGCACTTCCCAGAAACCCTCGTGGCTTCATAGAACTGTTCTGCATGTTCGGAGAAGGCTTAGAAGGCTTCTCAGAAGACCGGGGAACTTTGTAGCCTTTTGAGAATGCCTGCTCCTTCTCACTCCCCCCCGGGCTCGCCGCCGAATCAAGCCCCCCCTGAATCCCCGACGTCATGATATTTGTGAAAAGACGACCCTGGAGGTATCGACCCAGACCACGGGACCAGCTTCTCATCTCAAACCGTTCTCTGACGGCCCCGAGGCCCGGCGAGGGCTCCCGGAAGTCGAAACTGCCAGGAAGCATCCCGTTGTGAGTTGTTCATGACCCGAAAAAGTCTGTAGAGGCCTCTGAGATGGAGTCGGAATCAGTGGGGTCCAAAGATCGCGCCGCATCGGCGATGCGTCCCCGATGCACTGAATCTGCATCCGCGACGCCGGCGATGCATCGGCGACGTCGGCGTGGAGAACATCGGGTTCCACATCGAGCCGCAACGCCGACGCATCAGCGACGCATCGACGATGCGGCGAGATCAGCCCCCTCCCCCGGACCCCTGACGCCAGCCCAAATGTCGGGCGACCGAGTTATCCGGGGTAACTCGGGTCAGGGGTAACTCGGGTTTGGATTTCCGAAAAAGGAACCCGAGTTAGCCCTGACCCGAGTTACCCCTGATGATTCGGGGCTCTGGACGCCCGAGTTATCCGGGGTAACTCGGGTCCGGGGTAACTCGGGTTTGGATTCCCGAAAAACAAACCCGAGTTATCCCTGACCCCGAGTTACCCCTGATGATTCGGGGCTCTGAAAATGATTTCAAAACGTCGCCCCCAAGAGTATCGACCCCTTCCCCGGAGGCCGGCTTCTCATCCTGAGCTATTCTCCGGCGGCCCCGAGGCTCGGCGAGGGCCCCCGGCGGCCCCACAGGGCGAAACACCTCGACCTCGGAGGCCCCTGTCGCCCGAGACGTCCTCGGGAAGGGCCTCGGGTCCCAAGACCGCGCGGTGACCCCTCATCCCACCGACTCGCCGCACGGTGTGCTCGCCACACCGTCTGGGGGCCCCCGAGCCCTCCCGTCGTGCTTTGCTCGTGACCCGGGGAAGTCTGGGCTCGGGTCGGGCGGAAGGGGGGGTAGCAAAGGGGGGGTCTGAGAATCAGCTCGCGCAGCTGACTTTCCCGGCGCCTCCTGGCGCCGGAGGCAGCTACGTATCGAGGCATGGGCCCCTCGGTGGGGCCGAAACCAGCTGCACGCCGCAGATTTCGTAACCCCCCCTTTCCCTATCCTCCCCTTTCGTTCGGCCCGAGAGGAGGAGGAGGAGGAGGAGGAGGAGGAGGAGGAGGAGGAGGAGGAGGAGGAGGAGGGGAGGAGGAGGAGGAGGAGGAGGAGGGAGGAGGAGGAGGAGGAGGAGGAGGGAGGAGGAGGAGGAGGAGGAGGAGGAGGAGGAGGAGGAGGAGGAGGAGGAGGAGGAGGAGGAGGAGGAGTATGATGATGATGAGGAGGAGGAGGAGGAGGAGGAGGAGGAGGAGGAGGAGGAGGAGGAGGGAGGAGGGAGGAGGGAGGAGGAGGGAGGAGGGAGGAGGGAGGAGGGAGGAGGAGAGGAGGCGAGGAGGAGGGAGGAGGGAGGAGGGAGGAGGGAGGGAGGAGGGAGGAGGGAGGAGGGAGGAGGGAGGAGGGAGGAGGGAGGAGGGAGGAGGAAGGAGGGGAGGAGGAGGAGGAGGAGGAGGAGGAGGAGGAGGAGGAGAAGGGGAGGAGGAGGAGGGGAGGAGGAGGAGGAGGAGGAGGAGGAGGAGGAGGAGGAGGAGGAGGAGGAGGAGGGGAGGAGGGAGGAGGGAGGAGGGAGGAGGGAGGAGGGAGGAGGGAGGGAGGAGGAGGAGGAGGAAGGAGGAGGAGGAGGGAGGAGGCGGAGGAGGAGGAGGAGGAGGAGGAGGAGGAGGAGAGGAGGAGGAGGAGGCTCGAGGGGCCCGTGGCGCAACGCCAGTGGCCACCCCGCGGGCGCTCGTCGCCGGACGAGTCCATGCCATGCAGGAGAGGCGCGCGCGGCTCCCGGCGCGCGGGCTCCGCGCGGCTGCGCGCGGCGCCGGCCGATCGGGCAGGGGCGCCTCGCGGGCTGGGGCGGCTCGCCGTCGTGCGCGGCCCAGGGAGGCACAAGGACGTCCACAGAAGTGACAGGACGTTCCCATCCTCCTCCTCTTCCTCCTCCTCCTCCTCCTCCCTCCTCCTCTCCTCCCCTCCTCTTCCTCCTCCTCCTCCTCCTCCTCCTCCTCCTGCTCCTCCGTCCCCCCGTGCCGACGCCATTCGATTCGATTCTGAGTAGCCAGGGGGCACGGGGCGCCACTAAGAGTTCTCTGAGCTCGAAGAACACCCCTGAATTGCCCCTTATCCAATGAATGGCCGGGCACGGGCGCCCGCCTCTGGTGCTTCTAGCAAGGGCGGAAATTCTGGCGATCGTGCGCCCTTCGACTCTGCGGTTTTAGCTTCGTCGCGAGGTGGTCGCCTCATGAACGCAGCCCGACGGCAAGAATACGCTCCCGATGGCTCTCTCACTTCGATTCCTGTGGGGGCTGCCTGGTGGCAGTGCCGGTGTGCATGCATGTACTGACTCTGCGCGCCTACCCCGGTCGCGAGGCAGATGCCGCAATGGCGCCACCTGGCGGCCAGGCTGGCGGTCTGGCGCGCCCTCACGTCGACCCGCTCACGAGGCTGACTGGCGGAAGTACCATATGTCAGGCATTTAAGGGCACACCCTGGCGGAAATACTGGCGGACTTGAACCTTTTCACGTCGAACCGCTACTCCAGATTTCGTAATAAAAGGGAGGGGGTCTGGACCCTCCAAGACAAGCCATTTCAGACCTCCCCCGTGGGAGAACCCTCCAAAACATCGTCCCCAGACCCCCCAGGCCCTCCAAGATAGCCTGGAAGAGACCCCCCCGAAATGAGACCCCCCTCCCTTTATTACGAAATCTGGAGTACCAAGGCTCGTCCCCTTTTGGACGCGAGCAGGCGGCAATGCCAGCCACTGTGCGCCCGCAGGTACTGCGCGCCCACGCCCTTCGCGAGACCGTTGCCTCAATGCGCTGCCCGGTGGCAAGTCCGGCGGTCCCGCGCGTTCCACAGTCTCTCCAGTCACAATGCTCGTTTTCTTGCGGGCGCTGGCTGGTGGGTGCGCTGGTCTTCGCGCGCCCGCGGTCTCCACGCGCTTGCCCCTGTCGTGAGGCAGCTGCTTCCAGAACGCAGCACGGCGGCAGGGCCAGCGGTCCTCCGTTCCCTCGCGTGCCCCGCGTCACTGCGGCTCGCCTCCTCTGGAACGCTGTCGGGCGTCAGTGCCGGCTCACGTGCATCCGCAGATTGTGCGCGCGCGCTCCTGTCGCGAGGCAGTCGCCGCAAGGGCGCAGTCCGGAGGCAAGTCCTGCGCTCCCACATTGGCTTGGGATTCACAGTCGTTTCCTTTGGGCGCTGCCTGGCGGCAGTGCCAGCTCCCGCGCATCCGCAGGTTCTGTGTGCTCGCCCCCGTTGGATGGCGAATGCCTCAAAGGCGCGGCCTGGCGGCAAAGGCCGCGGCCCCGCGCGCTGTCGCGTCGAACCGATACCATGGTTCGTCACGAATTGGGCACTGTCTGGCGGCAGTGACCGTTACCGTGCATCCGCAGATCCCGCGATTCTGCCCTCGTCGCGAGGCAGTCGCCTCAAGGGCACAGCCCGGCGACAGGGCCGGCCGCCCTGAGCACTCGCATCTCTCGTTCTCTCACACGTCGTTGGGCAGGAGCTCTGCGCGCTTGCCTCCGTCGTGAGGCAGGCGCCTCGAGGGCGTTGCCCCATCGGCGAGGCCGGCGGCCACGCGCGCCCTCGCGCCGCACCGCTGCCATGGTCAGCCCCCCTTTGGGCGCTGGCCGGCGGCGGGTGCCAGCCGCCGAGCGCCCGCGGATTGTGCGCGCCGCCCCCCCGGCGCCAAGCAGACGCCGCACGGGCGCAGCCCAGCGGCAAGGCCAGCGGCCCTGCACATTCCCGCGTCTGGCCGATAAGCGTGGTCATCTCTTGTTGGACCCTGGCTGCAGTGAAAACGTGTAGGAAGGACGCGTGGTAAGGACGCAAGACCCTTGGAGGCCGAAGTTGAAGTATCCTGGGCGGCGAAATTGCTGGGGACGGGCCGCAGAGGCTGAGGCAGGCAAGGACCCAAGGGTACCCTTGAAAAAGTCGTTTGTCCTTACTATGCGCGTTGACTGGAGTACCAGTGCCAGATTTCGCGCGTCCGCAGATGGCGCGCGCGCGCCCCACTTGCGCGGCAGTGTGCTTCAAGGACACAGCCCGGTGGAGAGGCCCGCGGCTCTGCACATCCCCGCGTCGAGCCGCCATCAAGGCTCGTTCCCTCTCGGGGCGCAGGCTGGCGGCAGTGCCAGATGTCGCGGGTGAGCAAGGCCCGCTGGAGGCCTCCTGAATGGGGTCGGAGTAGATGGGGTCGGAGGATCGCGCCGGCGATACATCGGCGATGCATCGGCGATGCATCAGCGATGCAGCTGCGATGCATCAGCGACGTCGGCGATGCATCGGCGACGCCCGCGTGAAAGAAATCGGGCTCCGCATCGAGCCGCATCGG